GAGTTGTACGGTCTTTCTGTTTCACTCACAGATGTCCCCGAAGCGATATTCTCAGCATCCACAGACTCATCCCATCATCTGTCACAAGGATCCGATGTCTCGGTGATATCATGCATTTCTCTACAGCTAGTTAGTGTCTATCCGAGTTGTGTGCGATCACCTGCATCCAGGCTGTGAATCTTCATTTGTACGGTTAAACGGTCCTACTAAGCTCTCCTCTGAAATATCAATGTCAGAAAATGATTCAGAATTTGCATATCCGTTAGCTAGTGAAGCAGCCGTTGTTGTAATGTCATGTCCGTGAACCATGTCAAGGGAAAAGATATCTTCAACAATATCGAAGGCAGAACGCAGCTCTGCCGATTTATATCCTGCGTGGGAGTTCCTACCACGCCCGGATTTGAAGAGTCGCAGGCCGACTTACCGTTCAATCTTGGCAGTACCGACTTGGGTGGAATGCATAAGATCATGATGGCACTTATCCACGCCACCGAGCATGGTGACCATTCCCATTGGCATTGAGCTGTATCCGAAGACTCGATCTGTGTCGGAACTGTTGGAGTCAGAGAACAATCATAGCTACTATGGCAATTAAGAAGCCTATATGAAGCATTTGCACCGAGTCATCGGAATTCGAACACGTGGTCATGGTAAAACAAACATGTTTGCCTACCATGAATGTGTCATTTGAAATAAGGAAGTCAGGGAAGGCTTACCATGCAAATAATATGCTTCCATATTTGGACAACCCAGCCGTGGCAACCAAATGCGTGGGATAACGATCGCTGAAGAAGTTGTATTACATCATAATTATATTGACCCAACCACGTTGAGCCTTGCCAAAATGCGTTCTCGGAAAAACCCATGACCGACGTATCGGTATAAGTCCCGAGACTTGATAAAAAAAAATCATTGGACCCATCTTTCTTGTCGTATACCATCGTCAATTACTCACTGCAGTTTGTATATACTGAGAATGACACCTTCGGAAATTGCAAACAAAGCCTTCGACACCACGCTTGAGGTTGTACAACTGCTGATGAAGCATTGTATGAAATTAAAGGAAAGTGACCCAGCCGCGTTGATAATCTCAGATGAGATCGCTAAACGGGTGGTAAGCTTCGCTGCCTACAACTGTCAATGTATTTTTGTAGACAAACAACTCAATTTGTCGCAGGCTAAAGATTTGAAGCTTTACGGGGGAAACGCCACATCGTTCTCCCCTCAGCTGCTGTCGTTTGCAGCTGTAGTACGGCAGCATTCAAAAGCTGGGAGATTTGTATCATTGCCCGACTGGAACTCCGTGATGGACAACGACCCGCGCATCAAGACACACCCGCTGTTCCATAAGACTGTAGGCTATCGTCCCTATCTTGCGTATCCCGACGCAGAACCAGAATCCAGCATGCCATCATCCGCTGTCCCGCTGGAGCCTCATTCAACGATAGGGACCGTCGTGGAAGCCTCTACACCTCAACAGCTTGTCACATCAATGGCCCCACAGCTCATTCAATTGCTCCATGTCGTCCCGGAGGTGAAACCGCTCCTTGTCGTCCTGGAGGTGAAACCGCTCCATGTCGTCCCGGAGATGCAACTGATGACATCTGAGCCGCCATCCCCCGCTGCACCGGGCGTGGAACCCATGATGTCAGGTGTCCGAAGTACCATAACGCCCATGGTCATACCGGAACTGCCACCACAGGTTTCAATACGTCCCGTGACCGTCGGACAAAACAAGGGGAATATCAGAACGGCACGGCAGATATTCCCACCTACTGGTAACCAGCAGAAAAGGAAAATGGACGACAGCGAACCCGAACCCCGCCGAGCATCCCGGAAACCAGTCCCGAAACGAAAGAGGAAGTTTGAGTCAGATGAAGAGGAGACGAATGCCACCAGTACCATTCATGTTAAGGTGACTCTGAGAGCATTTCTCTGTATGTTGCTAATTTGCATTTTTGCAGCAGAGGGGGTCGTCGGTGAAGGCCAGTCATGCTGTCAATCGAACGGACATGCCTCCATCCGACTTTGTGGACGACAGAGGTTTTTGGGATGCAGAAACTAGGGTAAGTTGTTCATGTAGATGGGGTTACCGTCTTATTTGGGTTCATCTAGCCTGCCGGATGGGGCCTAGATGCTACAGTTGCTACTTCGGTAGAGGTAAGCAGACCATCGCATTTCAGTAATATGCCCTCACATATTCCAGCATTCCGTTCGCTACCATCCCCGCAAATGCGACAAATGCATCAACATGGACGTGCCATGCATTGTGCTGCCTGATAAGAAGTTCGGGTTTACAAGACTCGCTTGTGCGAACTGCGATGAGATGAAGATTACCTGCGCGATCGACGGTGCCGGTGTCCGGCAAAGGCTACAAGCAAAGGCACAGGGAGCTGCGAAGAACACCGGCAGCAATGCACCGCTCAAACGTTCTAGGACGCGTGCACCCAAGTCACGTGCGGCCGTCACAGCACCTGTCGCATCGGCTCCTGTGAAGAGAACTAAACCGTCCAAACGTTCATCCTCCCTTGTCCTACAGAAAGGTCTGCCGGACAATCCTCCGATTGGTAAGCACATTCATCATATCCTTCGGACTTGCTCACCGCGTATTTTGACGACATATTCAGAGGTCAGGCAAGGACAGATGAACTTGATGCCGGATGGTGCAAACTTGCAGGCGCCACCGAATGTACAAGTATTCAGATCTCTGCAACTCCCACCGGTCGACATGCTAGCACCGATCGTTCCATCCGTGCCAGCCGCCCCCTCAGAGCCGGAACCCACTGCAAGAGCCATATTGCAAAGCATCCATGACCTTGGCAGGAGATTTGATCTCCTGGCAACCAATGAGCGGATGGATGCTTTGGATGTGAGGGTAGATTCAGTAGAGCGGAAGATTACCCTGAGGCTGACAGCGCTGGAGGAACGGTTCGCCGTATCCATTGCGCATCAGGAGTCGTTGTCACAATCAATCGGTAATCATTCAATGTCCTTACGGGTGCACAGCAACAATCCGGGTGCACATTTTCCTCGCGCCGACGGTAGTACGCACCCACCCCGGCACCTACCAGAACCAACCATCATGTCATGGCTGACACATAATCATGCCGGTGATGAACATCCTGGCATCTCCACTATAGGCAGGGAGTACACCCATGCATGGGACCAGTCTCTTACGACGGGTATGCAAGGCGACGCCCAGGCCTCGACATCTAGTTGGCGGCCGACATATTTCCTGGATCCTCCTTATATACACGAGCCTTCTATTGCATCTTCCCCGTTGTCTAGCACGTAACCTGTCAGAACACAGGAGTAGATCTTGACTGCACAACCCGTTCATCCCTTGATTTGCATTCCGATGTGACATCACATTTTGCCTAACTTTCATTACAATTTTGGTAGATAAGGCAGGTTAAATTTGCTTAGTAACAAATGTACACAGGTGATCTCGGTGATCGAAAGGAAACTTCAATCCACGAATGTGCTCGGAATATGTTAGAGAATGCGTGAACTATCATGGAATCGCCTGTATCCGACACAGAGGAAGCGCTTCCGGATGGTTTAATGTCAGTTATGGCACCTCCCACCCAATGGGAATGTAGCTGGTTGGTCGTCTGGTATGTGGTCGGCTCGGATGTCCTGTCAATATAATATCATGCACGAACCGACCGGTAGGTATGGTGCCAATGCAGCTGCGCAGATGTTTCTGATGATCTCGGACACCGTGGATGTCCGGGTTCAATCGCCATTTGGTGATGCATCATGACAAGGCCCGCAGCATATGGATCATCGCAGGTGGATCTTAGGGGCTGGCGCTAAATGCAACGGCTACCAGACACCATGCTAAAGGTCTTGATGAAATTATTGTGTCAAATATATCTGGGACCAAGCTGAATTCCTAATGCATGTTGTGCCGGATATTACGAACTTTCGCTGAGCAATCACTGCTCTCATTTTCTAGCTTCGATAATGTTCCTTGGTGCATTTCACATCCTTACATTCCACTCCGGATCCAGTTGTTGTCCCCACTTCGGAGGAGTTTGCAATGATAATTGAACAAACGCATCTCACCACTCAATTCCATCCTTTGTTCTGTAAATGGCATGCTGCTGCCTCGGATTTGCTGGGCACGATTACCATCGGCAGAGACACTGAAGGCAGTATCATCCACACCCGCATGCAGGAGGGTAGCACAAACAAACCTATTTGACTATGATAGTTCAATCCAAGGTGTTGATGTGTCAATAGCTGGATTACAGGCGTGGAAACCAAATACATCGGACAATGGTAGCGACAGGCATGGAATTACGTCATAATGTAATTATACCGAGTCTACATTACCATGCTTTCACAACGTACTTCCTCGGAAACATCCACAACCGACGATCTTTGTATAAATTCCGATACTTGTGCAAATTCTTAGTGTCACCTTTCTTTCCTTGGCGTATAGTTGCATTACACAAACTTGTTTGTTTTCAACACCGCTATGAGGCCCGATGTAGCAAATGACGCGCTCAACACCACGCTTGCGACTTTGCAATCGCTCATCAGGCGTTGTATCCACTTGAAACAGGAAGATCCAGAAGCCCTGAAGCTATCGGATGAGATTGCTAGACGCGTTGTAAGTCTACTTTCGTTTACATTGATTTGATTGTTCAAATTGGCACAGGCAAAAGACTTGAGGCTTTATGGAGGACATGCGACATCATTCTCCCCCCAGCTCTTGTCCTGTGCAGCCGTTGTGCGTCAATATTCTAAGGGTGGCGCCTTTGAAAGTTTGCCCGACTGGAACTCTGTGGTCGATGATGATCAGAGCCACCCGCGCTTCCACAAGACGTTGAACTACCGTCCTCTCGCTGCAGTTGGAACTCTTCCTGTTTTGGAGGATCACGCTACCGGGTCATCGTCTATAAGTAAACCTCTCACTGTTCCTGCGGCTATCCGTCCTTTGATAACACAAGCTCCCGCACTTCCAGCAAACTTCACGCCGCTGTCCCCATTGCCGGCCTCTCTGCAGCTAGAACCGCTGACTCCTCTTGCTCCATCAGTCGCTTCTGCTACCCCTGCCACAACAAAGTACAAGCTCTTCGTGCCAGGCAATATGTCAAACAGGGTCAAGCTTACTCCGCACCCTACGAATGACAAGAAGAGAAAGGCTGAAGAAGACGATACTGATTCGGCGGACGCTCCCAGTTCCCCATCTAGATCTCTCAAGCAGAATCTGAAAAGAATGAAGAAGTTATCGTCTCATGATGCACAAGATCAACTCCGTATAACTAAGAATGGAAGTACAAATGTAGGTCTAGCAACCGTTCCTCATCAATCGCCGATGCAAGCTTGTCACTGACATTGCCCAAGGACACATCGTCGGCGGCGGAATCTGAAAAGGTATCGGACCCGGAAGCTCAGGATGCGATTGACAAGGCCTCTGATGATATTTTCTGGGACGCAGAAACTAGGGTCAGTGACTTCCAGCTCTGGCTCGGTGCTCTGTAGAACTAACTATACAAATATTTCAGCCTCATGATTGGGATCTAGATTCAACGATTGCCACAGCGGTGGAGGTATGTGCGTTTGACCTATCAACGGTAGCACCTGTTGACCCACGTCAGCATTCTATTCGCTACCATCCCCGGAAATGTGACAAATGCGAGAAATTAAGCATACCTTGCATTGTTCTGCTGGATAAAAAAGTTGGATGTACGCGACTCGCTTGCGCCAATTGTGACAAGACAAAGGTGACTTGCGCAATAAATGGTATGGGTGTCTGGGACAGGTTGCAGGCTGAAGCCAAAGCAAAGGCAGTGGCACGAGTAGCCGAACCTCCCAAGCGCTCCAGGTCACGTGTCCCAAAGGCTCGAGCCGTCAAAAAGACATTTAAAAAAGCTTCCCCGGCTGTACCGAGCATTCCACCAGTACCTTCAGCCACCGATGTTATGGAAGATAATGTTGAACATGGCAGTGAGCACAGCACCCTCCAAAAGGCAGCACCGAGCATTCCGGCAGTGTCATCGTCCTCCCATGTTATGGAAGATATTATTGTCGAACATGGTAGTGAGTGCAGCTGCGCCAGAATTGCGCCTCGACTCATTTGTTACTGCCTTAGATGTTGAGGAACAACCGATACATTTGACATTGGCTCCTGCCGAAGCTACATTGCCCCCACCAATTGCTGCACCAATTATGATCGACCATCCGAAGGACATCCACCCGATGGAATCCACCCATCCTAAGAACACCCACTCTATGGAAGCCAGCCATCCGGCGGAGCCCGAGCCGACTGCAAAAGATATTCTGCAGGCCATCCGGGACCTTGGAAGCAAGTTTGACCTCCTCGCCACGAATGATCGGGTGGATGCATTGGATGCCAAGGTTGTTTTAGTGGAGGAAGTCTTCGGCCACCGGCTGGCAACGTTGGAGCAACGCATGAATTCCTCCGATGCACAATGGAAGGCGATGACATTGTCAGTCGGACATTTGACAAATTGTCTCCGGGACCACAAAGATGACCTCGAAGCCCATAGACTCCGCGTGAACACCACTGCCTATGCACCTCCACAGCACCCGACTGCTCAGCTTCCAGCGTGGCTCCATGGTGCCAGTGGTGTCGATGATCTGGGTATCTCCACTGTCGGCAGACAGTGGACACATGCATGGGACCCATCCGTCGCAACGGGTGCGCACGGCTGCCTCGAAACATCTGCATCGGCTATGCGGACAGGTTATCCTCCGGATACCCCCGTTCTTCGGGAAGCTTCAGTTGAATCCTCCCGATTGTCCAGCATGTCATCCACTATGTCTGATAAGTAGACTGTTGAATTGACATAAGTTGTTGGACCGGTGTCACGTAATTTCATACTGTTTTGACTGATCGGTTGATATGCTTTACTTTGGATACTAATGCTGTAGTTGACCATTCTTACTGCATTTACATTCCAAGTGTGCTATTTGAGTTCTCAATGCCAACAAAGGAAGGCGGGACTTATCATCATTATCATCCTCGGTGCAAATATTCGTCGACACCCAGCGCTGTATTTGTTTGCCGGTTATTCCTTACTCAAGAGAAGTTCTATTTTGACATACAAGGCTGCGTAACGGGAGTCTCCGAATCGACATATGCGAAAAATTCCATGATAAATACGGGACCTGCAGATGATTGATAGGGGATTTGATTTCCGACCTAAAAGGATACCTAAATCTTCAGAATTAGTCTGTTTGGTAGGTTTTGGTGCTCGATATGATTTGTTGGGCTCATCCGTCTCTATCTCCGAGAATGAGTTAGCTGGGATCATTTGCAATGAAAAGGGTCTTGGGATCAGTAAATTTGACCTGGGACAAAGGAAATGCTAAATTAACTGAACCCATTAGCCTCGATTTCATCCTAGTCCGGTTCTGGAGATCATTGATTGGGCCCATCCATGTCCCCTACCGATGCTAGATTCCCTCAGCCCATAACCTGGACAGATGGATCAAACCGATGATTACAAGAAGACTTCCACCTGGATGGTGCCGGAACGCGTAAAGGATGAACTCAGCTTCATAGTTCGAGCATATTTGGGCTCTGGACGCGAGACAAATGGTCCTAGAAACATGCATAGGTATTATTCATTAATTTGATTCTAGTTTCGATGAAAAATTGGCATTGATCGCATTGATTGCATTGATATAAGTGCAGGAGGGTACGCTCTGGAATGGTGCGTCCCTTGTATCTGTAAGGGTCTGGAATGGTTTTGGCTGACATTTTGTGCTCACAAATGTATTGCCACACTCGGAGGCAGGGGGAATGCTGTAGTAGCATCAGAATAGAGTTTATAGATTTATGTTAACATATCTGTATTCACATCCTGCCGGTGTAAATATGACAGGTGACCCTTTTTATTGTCTATCTTCTCATGTGCACCGTTTGCACCATCCGAGCACATATCTTTGTATTTGCTCTCATACCAAATTTAACTAGGCTGGTGCACTACAATTGTGATAAAAATCAATTCAAATCCCATGTAACTGTGAAATACGAAAACAGGAAACACCATGAACTCAGTACATGCCGCTGGTAACGATCCACCCCTCTGATCTCGCAGGTGTGGGGCGCAGATGAGCCTCATGCTGAATGCCGATGTCCCGTCGTCACCTTCCATATCCATCATAACCGACTAATTGCATCCATGGTTGCGTTCCCTACCGACGATCGAGATTCCCAGGCGTTCATCCACGGGGGCATTTTGCAGCGCATATTTGGTGCGGTTGGAGGAGCCAGGACGGTGAGCGGCCAGATCGTCCTTATGGATTTGCAAGGACATTGACAGATTATCCATCGACGATGCGACCGACTGCCAACACGCATCCGAGGCAGTGATCTGGTTCTCCAGCACCATCAGCCTCCATCCAAACCTGTCCTCCACCGAATCAACCCTTGCATCCAATGCGTCCACCCGCTCATTGATTGCAAGGAGATCGAATCTCCTGCCAAGGTCCTGGATGCTCCGCAAGATGTCTGTTCCGCTGGGTTCAGGAACCGGGAGATTGGTGGGTCCTGGTGGCTGCAATGGAGCCGGAATTGAAATGATTTCAGGGAGTCCCATTTCCGATTGTTTGGAAGGGTCGGACGTCTGGATGTTTTGGTGCGCTAGCAGAGCCGGATGCTTAGGCCTTGAGTTGGTAGGTTGCTCTGAGTTAGGGACCAAAATTTTAATATGTTTGAATGATGTCACGGATAGGCATACCGTTTGGCGGGTCGTCCACGGTAACAGTCTGAGCCACACGAGAGGACCAACGAGTGGCCGGTTTCATGGTCTTGGCCGGAGTAGATTTTGCCAGATTGTTTGCGGCAGGGCGTGGCTTTTTTGCACGTGACCTAGGGCGATTGGAAAGAGGATTGATTTTCGGTTCATCAACAGCTTCCTTCGCCTTTACTTGCAACCTCTTCCGGACACCAACGCCGTCAATTGTGCAGGCGATCTTCATCTCATCGCAGTTTGCACAAACTAGTCTGATGCATCCAGGCTTCTTGTCCGGGAGAACTATGCAAGGAACCTTCAACTTGACACATTTGTCACATTGCCGTGGGTGGTAGCGCACGGAAATCTGTGCCATGCATTAAGCTAATATTGACAGCGTACATTTGCTTGCTTGCCTACCTCCATCATTGTGGCGATGTTGGAATCCAAACCCCATCCGACAGGCTAGAAGGGTGCAAGTAAGACCCGGAATCACCGAGGCAGAGACGACTTACCCTAGTTTTTTTGTCCCAAAAACCTTTGTCGTTCACCAAATCTGTTGCGGACGTGTCGGCTGATATGGCATCGGGAGCCCCAGCATTGAATGTCTTTACCGACACCGTCTTGTGCTATATCAATTCCTCGTGAGCAATGAACAGATATATACCATCAGAGTCACCTTAACATGGGTGGTGCCAGTGTCCCCGGTGTCTCCTTCATCCAACATATACTTCTTCTTCCATTTGCGAATCGGCTTCTGGGAAATGGGAGTTGGTGTGCATCCATGAACTACCTCCGCTTCTTTGCCGTCATTGTCGCTCTCTTCCACTTTCCTTTTCCTCTTCCTGGGCTGTGCGGTTGTCTCTGTCTTCATGCTTCCAGCCGCATGGATACCGTGTCTCACCATCGCAGGGGCGATAGAACGTGGCAGGCAGGTCGGTGGCGGGAATACCAATGGGGGGATGGCATTGCTTCGGATGTCTGATCTCATGAGTTCTGTAACCGGAACCCCCGGGGTTTGTAACCTGGGCGTTCTTGGTAGCACTTCATTACCAGCTGATGGAGCTGGTTGCGTCGCCTTCCATGAGCCGAGCCGAGGGGGTCTGATCGATTCCGAAAGAGTCTTTACCGTGGACTCCGCCGTCGCCAGTGGTCAGTTGGGGTTCAGCAAAGGTGGAGGGGCGGTAGTCCACAGTCTTGTGGAACCTGCAGGGTGACTCTTAATGCGTGGGTCGTCGTCTATGACGGTCTTCCAGTCGGGCAATGACACAAAGATGCCGGCCTTGGAGTGCTCCCGTACTACGGCGGCACAGGATAGCAGCTTAGGGGAGAACGATGTAGCGCTCCCCCCATAAAGCTTTAAATCTTTTGCCTGCACCAAATTGAGTTAGTTATCCAAAATACAGTACAGATCCGGTGGAGCGACACTCACCAGGCATCTGGCGATCTCATCCGATAACGTCAGTGTGCCTGGATCACTTTCCTTTAATTTCAAACAACGCTTCATCAGCGACTGTACAGTCTCGAGTGTAGCCTGGAGAGCGTTGTTTGCAATTTCCGAAGGTGTCATCACAGGTCTATAGAATTTAGTGAGCAACGGGTGATGGTATACGCAAAGAAAGACGACTTCGATTATTTTTAAATAAGTCTCGGGATTTATACCGATGCCTCGGTTATGGGCAGTTTCCGAGAACGCGTGGCCATTGTCGAAGCACGGTGCTGTGGACCTGTTAACAACTTGGTCACGTGATACAACTTCTTCTGTGATCATTGTTCCACTGCATTCCTGCTGCCACAGTGGCAAAGTCGGGTGATCCACATATCTAAGTTAGTATATCTTGGCACATCGTAGTCCTTCCCCGATCTCCTTATTTTACACAGAACAGTCATGTTTGGAAAACGCGTTCGCTTTGCTACTTCAGTATATTCGGATGATCAGGACTCGGTCACCAGTGCTACTTCTTACAGCAGCTATGACAATTCCTCTGACTCCTACAGACCCTCGTGCAGCAACTCTCCGGAGATAGCAAAACACAAATTCGAAGGGCCACTCGCCTGGTGGAGTGGATACACACCGTTAGACTCATGGATTCCGCCCATGCCTTCCCAGATACCGAGGTTTAAGGGACTGATCGGAGTGGAACCTTATATAAGGTTCAAACGTAAGTCAGGTCTCGAAGCTTCTGATCCGGGATTGCTAAAAACTCGTAATGCAGAATATAAATTGGCTGACGAGGTACGGTTAAGCCAAGAGTGGACAAACGATCCCATCGCAAACAGGGACATAAGTATGTTAATTCTGGCCTGACTTGTATCGCTAAGCTAACCTTACAACGCAGGATACGACATGTGCTTCTTAGGAGAATTTGATGAAGTTACAAGCATGCTAGCAGGTTTGTCACATCCCGTCACATCCTGGATATATTCTAACATGATTTTGGAAGATATCCATGTCCTTGACATGCTTCATGGTCCTGCCGTTACTCGAACGGCCGGTCCACGATCCCAAGGACTCACGAACTTGGACCAGTCGCCTCTCAGTTACATACAGGAGAATGGCGGTTCCATGGATTCAATCCATGTGCGATGATGAGCAGGCCGGATAAATGTGAGTACCTTTGTATCCAGCTTGGATGGAACTAATCGGCGGCATAGCTGCGGATGACATCGCCAGATCACCGACAACGGACCCTTATGACTGCGGTTGGGAGATAAATTCGGCTGCCGAATATATCGCTCCGGGCTTGTTCTCAGCAGAGCAAGTAGATCTGTACGACTGCGGATGGGAGGATCACATGGACGTCGAAACGTCGGGAGTGAAGGACTTTCCCCGAGACTTTGGATGGGAGGATGATTCGAAGAAGGACGGTCCGGCAAAGAGTCTGCCGATGGGTGAGGAAGAAGATGCCTACGACTGCGGATGGGAGGATGCTATGGAGATCCAACCCGCAGCCTCATCGATGACTCTCGGCGACGAAGAAGATCCATATGACTGTGGATGGGGGGATCAGCAAAATGATACCGCAGCGCCCATATCCAGTGCTGCAACGGAGGACCTGTATGATTGCGGATGGGAGGACGAAGAGGATGCCAACCGTGTGTCCGAGGTCGCGAATCTCGAGGACCCTTATGACTGCGGATGGGGAAATGATGATACCGACAACCTGGATGTTGTATCCAGGAATGACCCTTCAAGCAAACAATTGGGTCGCCGGATGGATAGTCCGACACCGATGTACGGGCTCGATATAATCGACCTAACATCGTCATCTGCATGTAAGTTATATCTCATCTGCTATATTTGTCGCTAATAGCATTGCAGCTCATAGATCAGAAAGCAATAAAAGATACCAGCCGATGACTATAGAGATACCGGAAGTCATCGACCTGACGTCGGACACTGGATGTGAGTGTTTTCAGATATGCTGCATATGGTGCTAATTGTGCAGCTTGCACAGCGTCTTCACATATGGTGTCCCAACTCAACACTTTTCAGGAGGCTGGTCTGTCAATGCATCGTGCCATCCAGCGACTGAACAGCATCGGAACTCATCAGCATAAGTCATGTTGACTTGTACAATGATTATACCTTACATATATTTGCAACAGGGAATGAGGATGCACAGAATATGGTCACGGATAATCCCTCTGGCACACCAAACCAATTTCCGGCAGGCGTGTTGAGGGCGAACCGGAGGCTCATTGTTGCATATGGAGAAGCACGGGACAGAGTGACGGAGCTCGGTGAGGATGTTGTTGCAATCTACCGATTGCTGGACATCCACAGGCGCATTATGGATCTGTTGGATGCTATGATAACACACCTTCAGCAAGGTGATGAGTAGACATAGCTTGATTTCCAGAAGATTGATGACTTGAATAATCGAAAAGAACTGCGTGGTAGTAGCTTTATGTATTACCATACAAACAAATTGTACAATGTCCATGTCTCCGTATCCGGAGGAGAGAGTTATGATAACACGCATGCAACATCAGTTTGTACTCAAGTTCTTACATAATCATGAGCATATTGGGAATTTGGCTTGCGCATACGTGCTGTGGGAGGGCGGTCAGAAGTTTTGCTCTGGGTACGTTTTGAAGGGGATCCTTCCATAGATTCTTCAGCGACCCGTTTCTTCGGTCTCTTGGTTGCGGGCTCTGTCAGATTCTCAGGGACCGGTTTTACCATTCCTCGGCCTCTTGTCCATTTCGCAGGCGACTCTTCTAAAGTCTCCTCGGCAGGACGTTTCCTTCGTTCCTTCCTTGCATGTTCTCCACCAGTCAGATGCGTTCTATGGGCATTGTATGTGTTGCTGTTCTTGTCGATGCGGAAGCGTCACGATTGACAGGCGCGCTGCGACCAGCCCGGGAGGCTGGTCCCACCAGCCGAACTGGCGGGATGACTGCTTCTACCACTCCGGACTTAGATTCGATCGCATGCAGTACCCTTTGCATTCTGTTTCACAGCTGCCTTTTCTCGACTAACCAGCGCCCTGCTCTCCGTTGAGCTTATGTAGGGGGTCCGAGCCTTAATATTTGGGGCCATGTCCTTCCTGGCATGTTTGTCCGAAGCCGCAATCGCCTTTGAAGGGACATCTTGTTCGACCTCGCTTTCAGAGTCACTGCTACTCATGAGAGCTGCTTGGTGGCGGCGGGTTTGTGACCCCCTACGCAAGTTCTTCCCCTCCATTCGCCTTCCTTTCTCGGGAGGTAGCACATCATCATCCGAGTCCTCAGATAGTTCACCAGAAGACCTATCATCTGCCGTCCCTGTGTAGTGAATATCCTCCTCGGATGACTTGAGTTTGTTCTTAGATTTCTCGCTCTTGTTTCGGGGTGATGAAGATGAGGCGCTCTTCACTACCTTGACTCCGGCACGACGTGCAGCGGCTGGCTTATTGTCCTTCACCTTTTCACCAGAAGATTGTCCAGCCGTAGATTGCCCGTGATAACCGGGCTGCTTTTGCTTTGATCCGGATGATTTCTTCGTCTGGGTGATTGGCCGCGCCCGGCTAGTGACACGTCCATCTTGGTCGGTTGCAAGGACGATGTCCTGGCTATCATTGTCCCACCATCCTATGAATTCGAAGACATGCTCTTCACCTTCCTCCTGTCTGCTATGCCAAAACCGTAAAAGCTCTGTGGCGTGGACCTGCCTTAATTTCGATGGCTCAGCGAGATCGTGACCTTCTGGAAGATATTGTACGGGAATGATCTTTTTGTACCTGGGTATCACATATTTCCATGGGACGGAGACTTTGGGGTCCCCGCAACACCTCCCTTCAGGTTGTTTAGCTCACTACATTCGCCGGAAGGAGGAAATCGACCCACTGTAATGCCATGTCAAAAATGCCCAGACAACTGCCTTCTTTGTATCTAAATCCATGGACGCACATGCAGGGATTACAGGATACCCGTCATCCCCGATGTCAAGGCTATACGTGTTGTCCTGTCTACCCCTCTTCCGAGCAACGGTATTTTTGTCCACATTGCCCTCTTATAACGGTTAGTAGCTACCGGATACATAATGAGGCGGCTTACCGAATACACTTGCAGCATACACGTCCCATTCTGGCTCGATCACTTTCCAGTTCTGAGTCTTCATGAACGACTCGGCACCCCCAAACTCTTGGTTATAGTCATGTCTGTCTGGAGCGTGAGAAGTTGCGGGTCCCAATGGTCTGAAAACACACCCGGACACCTGGACCTTGCTCTCCCCATCCTTCCAAGCTGACAACACGAACACCCTGATCCTGGCGCGGTTCCACATCTCCGATGCAAAGTGTCGAATCATATTGTCGCCTTTCTTTCTTGCGATCTCGACTTTTACATCGTCCGGAATGCCCTCACTATTCCATTCAGTCGGCTGTCTCTTTGGCTTCTTTAAGGTCTTCCGGTGAAAGCGATGCCATCAGCTGGTTTAGGTGAACCGTGTAATGGTTCATCATCTCCTTTGTTCCTGGTTTCGCACCAGTCTCGTCCTCGATTTTTTTCAACAGCTCCTTCTTCCGGAGCGTGTCTATGACACTTCTCTCGGTCCATTTCTGCCCCATCTTGATCAGGGGTTTCCCTTGTTTCTTGGCCTTTGCATGGTTCCGGAACCATGTCTCATATGTCTGAATGCTGATGAGGAGTGCTTCATATGCCAAAATCAATACTAACGCACCGCTTTGCGAGCCTTGGACAATATGATGGACATTACCAGTGCTTTTGTCTGGGCTTCCATTGTAGCTGCTCTCAAGATATTCTTACGCTCCGATGGAGCAGCTGAGCGCCATTGCTCGAGATAAGACTGCAGGACAGCAACCTCTTCTTCATTTGCTGGAGGTTGTTTGTTGGACTCTGAATCAGAGGCTGAGTTGTGGTCTGACATTATCGAAGGACAAGGTACAAATTGAATGGGTCGTGTTTAAAATATTAACCTTTACCTTATTTGTGCTTGGCCTCGGCTATTAAGCGAGCCATGAATGTGAATATATGTTTTGACTGTCCTCAAATTCACACAAGTTCTCAGTAACTACATGGGCAAGTCTAGGGTAAGGACATTGGCTCCGTGGGGAACGGCGCAATGGGTGACATGGAAAACGAAGGAGACCACTCGTGACTTGAAAGGGAAATGGTGCCCAGTCAAACCCAGTCCATCCATGCAGTCCTCTCCAGCAAAGTCTCCCAAAAAACATAATTCCGATTGTGCATGGTATCAATGGTCCACCGATTTCAATGCTGACCATGAGGACTTTGGCGATAAGGTACCAATTGGTGCCCTCAACATACTGTCAGGGAGAAAGAAGACAAAGGTGCATTACAAAATTTACGCCATGGGTTCCGTGCTGAGTGATGTCCCAGAGCCCAAATGATTATCTCCAGAAGTGGAAATTTCGGACAAACAATTATCTCAGAATCCTTCATGAACGAGAGGCTCCACCTGAAGACAAAAAATGCTGTGCATGCGGCTCTGAGTTCCCTGCATATAGGTGCTATGACTGCCTCGGCAACCCGGTATTTTGTCTGAAGTGCTGCAGAGATGAGCACTGGAGACTGCCTTTCCATAAGATAGGCAAATGGAATGGAGGATTTTTCGAGGAAACGTCTCTGACCAAGATAGGTATGGACATTTATCTTGGGCATCAGGGAATGCCTTGTCCAGCACTTGGGGATATCCATGAATGGGAGGACACCGACAGGCCCATATATCAACCGGCAGAGGACTTCCCTACCATACTCGAGCCATCATTCTTGAACCACAAGCAATGCATCACAGTTGTTGACAAGTCCGGAGTCCATTCTATCATGATAAGGTTTTGTCAATGTCCGAATGCTTGCACACCTGATAAGCAATTATTCGAGATGGCCATGTTTCCGGCATCCTTCACCCGACCCAAGACTGTGTTTACCTTTCCGGTGCTGGATGGTTTTGCATTGGACAACTTGGAATGCGGAACTTCAGCAATGAATTACTACAACAAATTGACGTCCAGTATATTTCCGCATCTAGTCCCAGTACGTGTTGCCCATAGAATATCATGGTTATAGCATCTCAATTCATCATAGGATCGTTACAGAGAATTAATGAGAGTGGCACGGCAATGGCAACAGCTGAAGCTGCTTAAATGGAATGGGTTTGCTTATGAGAGCAGAAGTCCGACGTCCGTGGAACTCGCCCTCTTTTGCCCGGCTTACCTGCAGCCCAGTATCAATGCCCCACTCCCAGCCGATAGGAATCCAGATGATCCCAGTTGGCTCTATGCCTGATCACTGGTCATGGACGGCAACTTCAAAGCAGAGCACCTTCATCCCACTCATCTGGACGATGAAGTCTGGTTGACGGATGGACAGTGCTTCATGGTTTCCAAAGACCAATACAAGGCTCATCTCGCAGTTGCAAACAATCTTGTTCAACCTTCCGAGTGCAATAATCACCGAGCCGTTAACAAGGCCAATGCGTCCTGACACAAACTAGAAGCTACCGGGATAGGCGGGTGCGCGTGCACCCACCACGGCTGTTTTGTGCCTCATTCTGTTGTGGATTTTCAAAAGGGCAAATGGTATGTTTCATGATCCCGTGCACTTGACTCACCGGGTGACGTCCATGATTAGGCAAATGAATATGGACTATGCCCTATGTCACGCATCAAGCCACCACACCGATGGGCTCAGCCAAGCTTTACATTTTATGACATTAATTGTCAATACAACAAACACTTCTGGCATCGGGTGAACAAGAGCCTTCATTTGAGCATCCCTTCTGGAATGGAAATCATACCAGGCATTGGCCTCTGGCATGTTCATGGACACCAAGACAAATGCTATGTTAGGTATGCATCAACATTTATTACCGGTGCCGCTAGGATCGACGGCAAAATCATGGAGACGTTGTGGGCACCTCTGAATATTATATCTCCTGCCATGAGAGGGATGTCCACTCCCCATCGGCAAGAGTGTCTCGATTACCAGATGAATGACTCCAATTTTATGAAGATGATTCGCATGAGTTGAGTCACAAATATCCTTTGTAAAGACTTTCTGATTGCATAATATAGGTGGATTTCTTTGCCAGAAATATAAGGAAGCTATTAAGGGTGTCGCAGAAAGCGCCTCTGCTTTTGACAAGCTCAACGAAACTGCTGATCCTATCATGGTTGCAACATGGGAAGAACAGGACTGATATGCTCATTCACGTCGAGTCACTGATCCATCGGCAATGGATGTATTTGAAGTTCAGTTAAAGAGGGGTGAGCATCTGCTCCATCAGCAGCCGCCCCACAAAACTGATTACATTGACCAGCGCCAACACGAAAGCAACAGAAGCTAGCTTTGCTGTCTTCCTGGGCAGCCAGATTGAGTGGGAATGCGCAACGAGGCGCTGCTACATGGATTGCATCCAGTATTACCATAGAAGAGATGCAGATCACGCTCAGTATGGATATTAGGAGGCTCGGAAGACACCCCACAGAGACCCAAACCTTGGACATATGCAGACACCGGACAAAGTTGCAAAGTCGGATAGATGAATTTACCATTGTGGCAGCGAACTCATCTAGGCGAGGGCTTCGACGTGGATGACGAAATTAGAGATCTCCACTTGGACTTCATGGATGACGATTCGGAAGATAATGGAATTGATGGCAGTGATACCGAATCTGAACTGGAAGCCGATGGACAACAGTGGTGAGATCTCTTCTACCCAGAGAAGATCCTGATCCCTCTGCCATCCAATATCGGCGTAGCACGTTGTGCGGAGCTGGGTGTTGAACACCTCCTTGGTCAAGAAATTGCACTTCGGGAGGGTCAAGCCAATGACGCCTTGCAAGCGATCAGAATGCATCTAGCAGATAAGGCTGTGCTCTTTCATACTGCAGTGCATCCGGCCAAATCACAAGCAAAGTCAACAAGGGCATGGATGCAGGTTCATTTGGTTGAAAGGGTCATCCGACTCAACACAATGATTTATACAAAATGTCGGGCACAACTTGGCCACCTGGAAGCTCATGGCTTACTCAATAAGTACCTCCAGATGGAAAAATGTCATCTCAAAACCACTGCTGCTGTGGCGGACCCCAATGCCTGAGGACAGCGAAATGCAACTCTCCCGTGGTTCTGGTCTCTAGACATACAAGGTGATTCAGTTAGCAGTGATTGGATGAATGAATGTACATCTGTATTTACTTACAATCCAAGTTTTTCGAGCCAAGGCTCAAGATACAACAGTTTACAGGGTTCATTGGGTTCGCATGAAAGCATTACGCAACCGATGGGTGGAAGAACTCTTACTCGTCGAACATGAAATGGGTTGGACCTTGGAGTTTTTCCTCTTCAAAGCAAGCATGTGGTTGAGAAGGCTCATGTCGACCGGCGGGGCAATACCAGAGGGACACAAGTGTTATGCAATTTGGCAGGCCCATATGTACCAAGAACTTGCCAAACATGCACACGCAAACTTTATAAAGACAAATCCAACCTTCCGGCCAATTTCTTAACATATAGGTGTAAGAAGTTGTTCATAGACCTAATATCTCATAGACATCCCACTTTTCTGGAAAATGGAGCATTGTCAATCCAAATTGCATCCGGTGATGTTGAGTGGACGCTCAGCATTGAAATTGATATCACTGCAATTTGTATGCAATCTAACTGGACGCGGATGTCATCAGGTACCATCATTTGTTGGCTAAATGGCAGTCCAGACTGAATGACGCCCGTGAAGAATTATTCATGAAGTTTCCCCTTGCGGGTTTTTTGAATTAGCTAAATCAATGTCCATTCTGTGACATGTCACGCTCGTTGTCTCCGCTATGAATACGATATGCTCAACTCTTCCTGAAGTAAGCAATGATTGGCACAGCTGTTTTCTGTGACTCCGGGAGAGCTCCGATTTGTTTATTATCTTATCATTTGTGCCTATAGCCATAAATGAGGTCAAGGACCAGCTTGACACCACTGAAAAGGAGTCAATGCCGACGTTTGCTACTGAACTCCACAAGATTGCTGTCCTGGGCCAGGCTGGCAGCAGCACTAAACACATCCGGGAGGATATCAACGATACCCAACAAGCATCACAAGGCCTTTTCCAAAAGCTATAGATGATATGACATGCTCAGAATGTCTCCTCGGAAAGCATCTAGAAGAAGCCCCACACAGGTAGTGAAGGATTGCCTACCTCTGTCCGGCTTTCCGGCTTGGTTCTCATCCTGCTGCAGCTCCCATTGTCTCTGCTGCATCTAGATTTCTTATTAGCTATGGCCCTATGGAACCGAATAATTCTGTTTGAACAACTCTGACCTTCCGCTACAATTGCCAGATCAGCTAGCTCATTTCATACATCAATCATATCAGGAGCTAATAATTCTTATTAAGTTACAAATGCTATCAAAATACACGTCTTGTTCGGCCACGTTGGTCAAACACATCCACAACTGCTAATAGAATCATTGCAATGCGGTGAGAAAATTGTATAAGCTGGACTGCAAATAAACAATAGGGTTTTTACAACAAATAGGTTCTGGTCTGTGGATCCGAGCATAGAGTTTCAGAAGTCTCACATGTGGAAATCTTCGGGACAATCAGCACGAAAAATTTAATTGCAACCTGACCAAGATGGGCGGATGCAGGGCGACCAACAGTCTGGCTCACTCAAACATGCGGTACCGGTTTATCTGGACATTGGTGGATGGATTATTGGTATTACATCCGAATACATAGGACAACAATAGAACCACTCTCGAGTACAATACAGTTACCACTGATCCACATTTCCCAATCCACAAGCCACAAGTCACAAGTCCCAAGCATTACTCACGACCGGATTGATTACAATCCAGACTTGTCGAAAATTTCTAAAGTCAACTTCTCATAACCACGGTATCCATCCTGTTTCTTACCGTATTTTCGATCGAACTAGAAATCATGGCCATACCTGCGGAAGTAGCAAATGACGCCTTGAATGTCATGCTTGCTGTTGTACAGACACTCATGAAGCGGTGCATCAAGGTGAAGGATAGTGATCCCGAGGCCTTAAGGCTGTCGGACGAGATTGCCAGGCGCGTGGTGAGCGTTTGTTATAATTTATTTAAAATTCTCGTTGTTAAACCAAGACATTCGACACAGGCAAAAGATTTGAAACTATACAGTGGGGATGCTACATCATTCTCCCCACAGCTACTCTCATTTGCCGCTGTTGTGAGACAGCACTCAAAGGGTGGCGCCTTTGAAAACGTTCCCGACTGGACCTCGGTCACCAATGACGACCCACGGATCAAGAGCCATCCACGATTTGAGAAGACTGTGGACTATTGCCCCCCCTCCACACTCGACATTCCTGCCATCCCCACAGTGACTGATATTCCCGCTACTGTCCTGACAACACCGACCCTCATTGTCCCGCCACCGACAGCCTCGACTCCACCATCCATGCCATCCCACACGGACACGGGTATCATCGCCAAGCCAGTATCGGAACCGAAACGACGGGTGCGAGTGCCCAAGAACCCGCCCCATGTCGGTCGTCCAGCACATCCGCCCCTAAGATACCGACACTTGTATTTTCCGGAGGCTGAGAGGGAACAGTGGAAGGTAGCTTCTGCTGCCGGTGATAGCAAGAAGAGGAAGGCGGAAGATGAAGATACTGATGGGGCCATTGCGGTTGCCAACAAGAAGAGGAAGTTGAAGTCCGATGTCGACAAAGAGCCAACAGGAGTCATCTATGTGAAACGAAAGGTATGTATGTCTATTCATCTTTGGTTAGGTGTCTAAGGGCTTGCCGCTCCAGAAAGTAGCTCCTGTCGCTACTGGCAAGGATGCTCCACTAGTCGCAGCCAAATCTTTCCGGGACTCAAAAACGCGGGTATGTGATTATCGCTTAAGCATAGTGCAGATGTTGACCCATTTCTAAGCCTGCAGAATGGGGCTCCGATTCTGATGTCGCTACTCCGTGGCAGGTAAGTCATTTTCTGCATCGTTATAAACAAAGGCTAACGAATTTGAAGCATTCCGTTCGTTACCACCCCCGACAGTGCGACAAGTGCGCCAAGTTGGACATAGCCTGCCTTGTCCTCCCCGACAAGAAATTCGGGCACACACGCCTGGCCTGCGCCAATTGCGACACCATGAAGATCACGTGCGCAATCGACGGCGTTGGTGTCCGGCAGAGGTTGCAAGGTAAGGCAGCGAAAGCTTCCTCTGACGCGCCCAAACGCCCCCACACACCCAAGTCCCGAGCCGTCTCGCAAACACTCGTGGCGCGTCCTTCCCGCTCTCAATGGAGCATTGTCATAGATGAAGGTGCGTTTTCTCATTGCCTCGGAACGAGTTGACTCATTAGACTTTGCAGGGGCGGAGCGAAAGCCCACGGAGGTCTTTCCGAGTCGAGCTGAAAAGCAGCCGGAACATGGGCAATCGTCTGCGCCGGCCAACCTACGCAAATTAGAGCCCACATCAAGAGATATCTTACAGGGCATCCAGGACCTCGGTAGGAGATTGGATCTCCTCGCCACCAATGAGCGGGTAGAAGCGTTGGAAGTCAGAGTGGGTTCGGTGGAGACCAACCTGCTCAAGCGGTTGGACGAGTTAGAGCAACGGCTCAACGAATCCGATGCCCGGTGGAACTCTTTGAAATCCCTAGGATAGATGAAGTGGATAGTTGTAGATACTCACTAGTCAAATGGTATGGACCTTGTCGCGGGACTCCCTCATGTACTGTAGATACTCCGGAGGACTGTGTACTATTATATGATTGCATGTGTAGCCTGGCGCTACATATTTATCCAAGTTCAATTGATTGAGTCCCACATAATGCGTGTGTATATCATACTGTTGTCAGATCTTTGTCAAATATAGTACTGCTTCATTTTAACTAGAAGTCGATACCTGAGCATATGCAAATTATATTCACATGATATTATTCTACTGGAAAGTGCATCCGGGACCACAGTGGACGAAAGTGTGAGCCGTACGATCAGTGTACATTCTTGGTTATGCAAATCCCGGGCTACTGGCCAGACGGTACATGCGTATATCTGATATGATTTAGCAAAGTACAGGAAGGGTGCATCCAAAAGTGATTGATATGCAGTTGTATATAGGCAGCCACCAGCTATTATACTGGCTTCCGGCACCCGTCATCACGGTGCAGTTGTGAACAGCGACAACCAATCAATTTAGTACCGATACAGTGTCGATAATGTTTGTTTTAACAAACATAGTCATGAGTGAGTTCGTCTTCCGAAAGCCCACGTCGCCGTCAACGTCCGGGACCACTGGTGCTTGATTGCATTATCTCCGAGATTTTGAACTACCGAGGTATGTTGCGACTGCTTGGAGTCCAAAACAGCGTATTTGTCAACATTTCCTAGCCCAAATGTACAATTGGGCTCAAAACGACTAGCTGGGCTTTTTCGTTACCCCTGCCGCCGTGTAATATGGATTGGGTAGCACATCATCTAGCTTGAGCCGTCCGGGAGTTCGCCCAAGATCAGGTATATTTGGACTGGAGCTACCTGATCCGCACACTGAATTTGTACTCTGCCCAGAATAACCGGTTGGGCTCTTAAACCTTCTGACCGGGCCTATCTGCATACCGAAATACGCTGTGGGCCGAATTTATACGCACTGTGTCTAGAATAACCAGCTGCGCTCTTCCGGTACTTGTTTAATGGGCATAATGGGCCCGCCCGGATAAGTATGCACCAGGCCGATCTACATATTGAGTTTGTATATACTAGGTTCAAACATCCTGTTAGGCCGGATACTTCTGTGCACTGGACTGATCCGTGCACTGAATTTGTATGTGCTGGGCCAGTTCGGCCCCTTCATATTAGTATTCCCTCGGCCAATCCGTACATTGAATTCGCACCTGCTTCTGCGACCACAACAAGCCTTAATCCACTTCTCACCCGTGGCGTTTCTGTGCCCATTTTCCGCCCAAATCCATGGGGGGCGGGCCCATTCGTAACCTTTTCTGAGCCCAAATACAGCGTTCCTGGGCCCATCCGTCTTCTTTTCCGGGTCCAAATACAGCGGGACTGGGCCCATCCGTCTCCTTTTCCAGGTCCAAATACAGCGGGACTGGGCCCATCCGTCTCTTTTTCCGAGTCCAAATACACTCGGGAGTTGGGTCCATCTGTGTTTCTGAGACCACCTGCATATGCGCTGGGCCCATTTGCCTTTTTCTGAGACCAAATATGCGCTGGGCCCATCTGTCACGATTTTCAATAGCATATGCAGATCCGCTGGGCCTATCCTGGAGCATGCAGGCCCACCCGGTCGCACATTTTGGGCCCATCCGTCACGATTTCAATATCAAATGCAGATCCGCTGGGCCTATCCTGGAGCATGCAGGCCCATCCGGTCGCACATTTTGGGCCCATCCGTTGTCCTTTTTCCAGGTATGCCTACAAGCTGGCTCACCCATAAGCACTCATACATGCCGGCTGAGCCCATCCGTCACAATTTTCGCACATCCGCTGGGCCCATTCTCACCCTCAAGCATGCAGGCCCGCCCGGTCACACAATTTGGGCCCGCTCATCACTATGGATATCACACCTCAGCCCACCCGCCAGTATGGGTAATTTCTGTACTGTGGGCCCACCCGCTCCCACCTTGCCCATGGGCCCACCTTGGATGGCTCGCTTAACTGGGCAGAATCTCAACCTTTGGCTGTCCGACTAAGTCGGAAAATGTTACTGAAGGGGCTCAAGTGAAATTGTCGGTGCAAAGGGAAATAAGGCATGTTCAGAACGAAAATAGTAGTATATAGTCAAATTGTGTTTAAGTAGCTACACACTAGTATCCAAAACAAAGTGAAGTCAAAATGCAATCTCGAATGCATGGTGATCAGTGTATTTGTTCACATAGTAGGCTTGAAATGCGTCATATGAATGATAAAATTTGAGCTCCCAGGGCACAAATTGCACGCCATACATGGGAATAAGATGTGCAGCACGATAAATAGAGTCAATATGAATGACCGCGTACCCTGGAGCACTGTCTGCTCCAAATCCAGGACGAACTATCCACATTCCTGTATCTTCATCTGGGGCGTCACCAACTTTGTCGAACCAGCTTATTAGAGTGCAGGGATATAACCTGCCCTGGTACCTGAATGAGAAAAATGCACGAACACGGGCGACTTCGAGGCCTTGCATGCCAGGCAAACTGGAGTCTGTGTTGATGAAAACACAGTCATGGCGCTGGTACTCGTTCCGCCAGATGGGGCAAGAACGAATGTGTTCAACACGCATACCACCGATCCCGCTCAAATCACTCGGCGCATAGAATCGTGATGATGCGGAATTGAAGACCGAGATTTTGCTAAGATAGAGGGGACATTCGGCGAGGGGTATATTAGATGGGTCGCGAGGATCTTTAGGATGCAACTGTTGGAATAAGAAGCGTCTGAGGAGGTCAGGTAGACTAGGAATATTGAGTTCTTCGGCAAGTGCAGGAATAGTTTGAGCACGTTTTTTGCCCTCTGTACATAGTTTATTAGGACATTCAAAAGGAAGAAAAAGAAGTCTTACGGCGTGTTTTCGCCAGCTGGACATAAGCTTGTAGAACTGTCGGACCATCATCAATTTCCAGGTCCTCATCGATGCCGATCAGCAGAGGTGCTGGTGCTGGTGCTGGTGCCGGCACATTTTCATCAAGTTCATTGATCTGCTGTGCGGGTACTATTGTGCACATTAGTATATAGGATATCTCACGAACTGTTTACCCACCCAAGGCATCCATAGTTACTGAGAGGCAAGTACCAGTTAACATTCCCCGACGTGTGAAGTCAGCTCGTGCTGCAGAAAGTTTGTTGAGCCATTGGTTGGTCACAAGTATTTGACCAAGTGCATTATAACGGCTGGATCATCTCCATGGCTCCTTGACCGCTTTGATGTGCTTGTTTTCAGTAATCGATGAGCAGAGGCCGTTCGGTGCAGCAAACAATCATATGTTTTGGACATAGTGCTTGAGTGAATGTTGACGAGGTAGGGAAAAGGTAGGAACCACTCCTGTCGTCCTGAAGATGTTACGGTAATGGTGAAAGCGTGAGAGAGCGTCTTCGATTTCGACTAGAGTGTCTTCTGTGATTATGTTACGACGGACTAGGTAACAAAATTCGAGAAGTGCACGAAAGGTGCGCACGACATCTACGGGTACATGACCCTCGATGGCAGGCAAGTAGACCTGAAGAATTAATAAGTTCTGTGACCATAGCATGACTAAATTGATGAATTACCTTCATCAGGGCCTTCGAATCATCTCCTGTCCATTGCTTGAAGCCACGTCCCTGAGGAAATCGTCTCAAGCCTGAAAATGAGGCGACAGCGGCAATTCTAAGACAATGAGTAATGTTATGTAGTCTAAATGCGGTCAAGCTTACCTGCAATCAATATCATCCATAATTTGATCCGCCTTTCGTTTCGTATGCGTGTGTCTGAGGTATTTCTCGACCCATTCGACGAGGTGGTCCTTGAATGCTCCTTTGACGAGTTGATGGAGAATATCCGGTGAGATCATCTGATGGATGTCAGCTCTGGGGAAGTCATTCGTAAATGCCTATTAAAATAAGATCATTAAGAACGGTGCTGCAAGGAGTGCGCTGATTCACATACTACAAGTTCCCCAACTATTCCAAAGTCATCCCACAGGTCACCTAAGGAACCTTCTTGAACGAGTGCTTCTGTGTATTCGCGACAACGACGTAACACATCTTCGTCGAGATCCTCACGAGATGCCATACATCTGCAAAAAAAATTGTAACTTATACAAAGATACATACTAGATGACAAAAACGTACTTAGGGCACCAACCACGCACGATACATGCTAACAGCGCTTGCTCCTCATAATCTGCTATGTATGGCCCTAGTCCGTATATAACCCGACGGTAGTGACCGTCTCCAAAACGAGTGACTTCGGGGGTTGTCATGCCTGGTTTCAGCGTGTTGAGAATCTTGGAGAGTGACGAATGGAACAGCTGTCGACGGAATTTTCGGAACACTGCCTCGGTAGCATGTTCCTTTGTAGCTGTAAAAATCAGTTAGTCATTATTGTAGAAGCCCGCACCACGACGCACTTTTCGGCATAGCAAGGAAGCCAATGACTGCTACTCCATCACGATGGGCTCGTTGAACATTGTTGCGAATGTTCCCAATTGAGGCGTATAGCGGATAATACTCATTATTACCTGTCCCGACTGAAACTGTCATTTTGTCACTGCCAAGGATGACAGGGACAAATGTAGAGCCGAGCATGCTCGGGTCCTTAGCTATTTCATCCTACATACAGAATTAGCAGTCATTACAGGATGAAGACTGCACTTACTGCCTGATCCCATGCCCAGTCACCAGACATAAAATCCTTCCACTGGCGCTTGTCGCCCTCGGTTGAATATTCTCGATAGGGGCAGTAGTCTACTTCACTGGCATATGTTGGATTTGCAAGCATATTGCGCACGACTTCATGTGGGTCACGAAACCAGACTTCGTATTTGTCATCCATCCACGGCTTGGTACCATCTTCAGGTCTCTCACCATCGTAAGTTACTGTAAAATTTTGCCAATTCACGTCCCCAAATGGTGAATTATCGATGATGTTGTACAGATCACGATGATCTGCGAATGGCGGCTTGTCACCATGTTTCGCAAGGGTAGACGCCCATAAATCCAGCAACCGGTTGATTTGACCTGCCGGCATCTGATTTTGTGTATACAGGAACTCTGCCATTTCGAATTCTGTACGATTGCAAAAGGGTGTCCAGTCGCCAGTTGCTACGTTCTCCAAAGGTGGGGGCTGAGTGCCAGGGAGGAGGAATATACCATCCATGTTGCATGGTCTGGCTGTAATCACATTCAGCCACAGTGACAGAATCATGCGAATGAACTTACCATTGAGACCTGTATGATAGTTTTGATACAGGTGATCCCCAGGCTCAACAAATTCCATATCAATGTTTGGTTGAGGCGATGGTTGATGTTGGTGCTCCAAGTCGGCATATCCTTCATCCACATCCATGTCGATATTGTGGTCGACATGAGGCTGTGGGCTTGGCAGACGGGACTCTGGTATGATGGGTTCCGGAGAGCGTTTGTGGTTGTCCTGAGGTAGTACTGGCGGGATGGGATGTGCTGAAATGCGATGTTTTGTTCGCCCGGCGATAGTTTTGAACCACCTTGGACAACTTCTACATGGTAGTTGGAGCGAACTATGGTCGTGACGGCGTAGTTGACTCCGTGGAATGTTATCGGGCATTGCAGCAATACTAGACTAGAATGATGTTCAGTTCTGGCGATTTGTACATTGAAAGGTGGAAAACTCACCAATCAGAGATCTGTGTGTTGAAAGGCGGAAGGATTACCAGTATTAGCTCTGGTGGTTCACACACCAGAAGGACTGCCAGTATTAGTTCTGGCGGTTCACACGTTGAAAGGTGAAGGATTGTCAGTACTAGTAGCTCTGGCACATTGAAAAGAGGAAAAATCACCAATAGGAAATCTGTGCGTTCAAAGGTGGAAGGATTGCCTATGTTAGCTTGGAAATCTGCGCGTTGAAAGGTGAGAGCTCTAGCAAACAGCAAAGTTGAAAAGAAAGATGGCAAACTTACGTCAATTAAGGACAATTCAGTACACATGCGGACCCAGTTGCAAAGGACACTGTAAATGACTAGACTGACGAATTGAACCTTTAAAGTTTCGGGTTGATTTAAGTAAGGAACTTACAAATTCGCAGTCAAACTTCAACTACACGTTGTCCTTGACATTTTTTTCACCCATCTCAAGCTTGCTGCAGCACTCATTTAATCTGCTACTTGTCAGCAATTATGTCCGATATCACTGAGGGAATCCGCACTCGCCGAGACAATAAGTTCAAACACCCGGGCTTGCCAGACCTGCCAGTGCAAGGACGAGTTCCGCGACGTAGCAAGGCCCAGAAAGCAGAGGACGACAAAATCCTTGAGGAAGCCCACCAAGCTCAAGAGCGGGCTGCAGTCGAGGGGCTGCAGCGGCTTGCTGCAATGCAGATGGAGATGGAGGAGGCAGAGGAACAAGGCGTGGTGACTAAACCAAAGCCAGTCAAACCCTGTGCTCGCCCTGTCAAGAAAAAAGTAGTGCCTGCCAAACCAGTAAGAAGCTCCTGGCAGCAGGAAGCGCTGGTGTTACTAGTATCATGAATACTGACTCACCCAAGGCTGGTACCGGCGTCGAGGACCAAGAAGAAAGCAGCCAGGACACCAACATTGAGGACGGAACAAAGAAGAAGAACCAGAGGGCCGTCAAAACGTCTCTGAAGGACGCAATCAACAATGCACGAGGCTCACTCACAGGAAAGGTTGAGTTAATTCAGGGGCCACGTGTTGGCGACAAGAAAGGAAAGTCTTCTACAGCGACGTGTGTCTTTTTGTTCCGATCAAAACCACGATGTTGATGCTGACTGAATCGACTCTTTTTTTTCTTAACTTGACCTCAAAATTCAGGACCAACTCCAAGTTTTCATTGATAAAGCGCGTTGATGGTTGGATTTCTGATATTTCACCAGACACAACCGAACTACTCAAAACTTCCAGCGCTTCTAAGACTCGTACCACTGCCTCAGCTTTGTCATTGGCGCATGGGCCACCAAGCAGTGCTTTATCCAGTTCCTGCGCTACATCAGTTTTGGCCATAACTACCAAGTCCTCCAAATCTAAGGCCCCCCCTGCTCTAGCTAATGCATCTGATGCTCCCAAGGCTCTTGTTGGCCGCTTTGATGACGAGTCGGATGATTCTCAGGAACGTTTGGATGCCTTCATTCAAAAGACGAAGGGGAAGCAGTCTTCACTTAGGGTGCGTACTAGATGTTTTGTAATAAATTCTAATTCTAATGCACAAAGCCAATTATATAGATTACCTCAGATGCAATGCCTGAGGATGCGCTGTCTTCAACAGAGGACTTACAGGATATTGATATCGACGCACCGATGGACCTGGACGATGCATTGGTGGACCTGGAGGACAATTTGTTTGAGGGCAAAGATGCCAGGATGTCCAAGGCGGTGGACAGTGACAGCAGCCTAAGCGATGGAATCTTGTTCCATCGGAGTAAGAAGCGCAAGCTTGCAGACACCAAATCCTCCACCCTTGTCTTGGAGAGTACCCCCTACGAGGATACATCAGATGTTGAGGTTATTGATGTCCCTTCAGGCCCTGTCGCAATGGCCAATACAACGAAGACGGCTGTGCGTTTGACCTCTTCGGTAAGCTTATTTTATTGATGATTATCACAACTTATATTCTCTGACAGACTGCCATTGCCGTCTCCCAGTCGGCCACCACAAAGATGCAACCACCTGCAAAGAAGGTGAAAATTGAAGAGGACATTGATGCCAGCACCGCGCAACTAACGCTCACAGCCCCACCTGGCTATTGGATCGAGAAGCAATACAAGACGTGCTCGAGCTACCAAAACTATCATCTCCCTCCTCATTGCCAAGATCAACGGTGGCCGAAGCAGTTCCTCCCAACACTTTACCTGTGGGCCGGGAGTAAAAATGACCTCTGGCAATTCTTAGACGCTCCTCTGGTCGAGGCACTCCAATCCATTTATGATGTCGTGTATTCAGAAGAATCAGATCTTGATTACAAGGTGACCGCTCAAGGGTCTGTCTTTGGCATTGTAAGTCGCATTTTTTTTCTGTCACTATTACTAACGGTTACAATCTCAATCAGGCCTCGCAGAGTGGCGCAGCAATTTTGGATCAACGGGACTGGCTATTATGATGGATTTTTTCACTAGGAATGCTGACACTGATCCAGAAACACTTGCTGACGCGCTTCTGGAGGACTTCGCTTTCATTTATGAGGACATGGAAAACCTAGACCCGATGCAAGCCTTCCGGTCTCCATTCATGTTGCAGCTCTTCGCAACTGCTCATCTTCACGCCATTCTCGGGCATGTTGAAGTCCCCGCACTTAAAACATATGTGCTGTCTGTCGTCGGGATGACTGGTGTTATTGGCATTTGTGCAGCTTCAGTAAGTACTCTGTACATTCAAGTAACATTACTGATAATTCTACAGCTCGAGCGCGCCATCAAACGTCTCCGTGTCAATGCCATTGACATTGATGTGGACACCCTAGATCTGGGTCCTGCACAAATGAAGCGCAAGCTGCGGACACCGAAGACCTTCAACAAGGCCACCGGCAAGGATAGCACTACCGAGAATGCCTTCTCCATCAACAACTGGGGATCAGTAACTGCATCATATGTGGTTGCTATCAAGGCGAAAGGAGACGACTACATGAGGACCACAACATTAACAGCTCGGAAATTGCTGAAGAAATCGGGCAGTGTCGGCCTCCAGAAGTACTTTCGCACTGATGATGACGGCTCAGAGGCCGTTGACATCCGCGCCATCCTGTGGTAACAAAGATTGATTCTTTTTTTCCTTTATTGACGAGCTGATATCATTCTATAGATGTCATTTCTGCACTGCTCACTGCAAGTTTCCAATTGTGCGGCGCCCGTCTTCAAACCATTGCATTTTGCCTATCCCACCATTGCCCCGGTTTGCTCGTTTTGTGTTTCATTATCCGCATTTCATATCCTTTAATCTCCTTCAATTCTTTCATTTTACATTCATTTTCGCTCTTACAATCACTGCCCTTTCTTCCTATTTTGACCACTTTTTCACACTTCACGTCGCCATTTACTCCATTTTAACCAATGTTTTGTACTTTGTATTGGACAATGTGACGCCGTTTGCGCTATTATTACTGCTTTTTTTGTCGGTCAATGCCTAGTAAGTGACTTTTAAGAGCAATAAAGTAGAATTCAGAGGGCGAGTGGCCTTTTTCTCAAATTTTCCGCCGTCTCTTTCATGTCACCCCAATGGCTCCTCAAACCCGGTTAAAGTGAGAAAATAAGGATAAATTAGGATTCATCACCAAAAATAAAAGTGAGGTTTTACTGATGTACTCAGGTTTCGACTGTCTTAAAATTCCAGGGAGCTTCAAGCTATTGACTGACCCCCAAATCTTGACGCATCCGTAAGAGCATATATATGTGAACTTTTATTCACGCTAACTGTACCCTCAGCACTGTGAGCCCAGGCGTCGATATCTTTGGAGATGGCAACATGGAGGTTGCTGTTAGCGAGTTTGAAAAGCAGCATATATGCAGTTATTATTGCGAATGGCCAGGTTTTGGCCTACATTCTTTCGCAAAGCAGGCAGATGGTAGCGTAGATGACACTGCCAAGTCTGCCAAGTCTGCCGCCGATGGTAGCGTAGATGATGGCGCTGAGCCTGCTGCCGATGGTAGCGGCAGGGATGATGCTGATGTCTCTTGAGTAATATTCAGTTTGCTGTATCGTATCTTTGGTTGGCCAGGCTGTGCTTGTATGTTATTTCGATGTTCTCGATATTTGATTATGATGCTCTGCAACAATCGACCCAGTGGTAAAAACCTGTAAAAACCGACGACAGACGACGCAGGGGTGCACGAAGTCCTCTTACCTATTATGGCTACGTGACGCTGACTAAAGGAGCGCGGCTGTTAGGCTTTCCATAGCATATGGTGTTCAGGTGAGTGAACTCACCTTTTCGATGGCCTTTTGATTCGTTCGGTGACAACACGGGTGAAACTGAACTTGGAAGTCAACACCATCGATGGATCGACGGAGCAGAGGACGACATCTTAGTTTGGACTATTAGACAGAGCAGTGACATGATAATGGCTACGAAGATTGTGATCATGACGGACAACTACAGTGCCGATGTAACAGCTTCTCGACATATACGTACGATGACAACTTTATTAGGACTAGACAGTGCGTTAGCCTCAGTCGTAATGGAACAGACTTATATATTATGATATGCCTAGACAGTGCGTTAGCTATAAGCGTCCGTTAGTGTCTAGGTATGTTTCGTATATGCAAAGAGCTCACCCTCAGTCGTAATGGAACAGACTGAGGGGAGAAGACGAAACACGATGGTCTATATACGATGGTTCGTATTCCAACAGTTCGATTCCGCTAGGCGCATCGCGTCGTGTCACGTGCGAAGCACTAACAAACTTAGTACTTAACTCTAAGCAATTGCTACGACACCGAGACGGTGACATTATGTCCAAAGGATTATAGTGGATCGACTTAACAGGAGGACGCTTTTGAGGAATCTGTTCCTTCTTGCATTACCGATATTTCCTGCGGCCCGGATTTATTGTCTGGCAAGCCCACATGAATCGCCTGTGTGGAGCGTGCAAAACTGATTTCGGAAATCTCGGTTTCGTGGACTGTCTGTGGCTGCAGGTAGGAATCCCGAGCGATTAAACTGAGTAAGATATCAGTAGTCTCTTTCATCACCGTTAGGAACAACTCACTTGGCGAGAAAACATGTAGCATATACTGTCACGCCAGGACGTCAGAACATTCCGTGTACTCGAGTTGATAACAACGAGACTCTCACAGCCTCCAATAGGAAAACACATATGTAGATGATACACATCGAAACGGCAAGCTGCCCACTGCGTCTTGGTCAGAGACATGGTTATTGTGCGCGATAAGCACTCACAATTCCCATAGTGATAGATGCCACCACACTACACAGGAAGCAGTGAGTATATACCCATTGTCAATACAAAGGAACTTGCGTTGTAATCAAACCCGTTTGCGAGCAGAATATGATAAGTTTTGTGATCATTCGGTTGGTTCTGAACACAAGACGTTCAATTATACAGGTTAATTTCATACTGGAACTGATTAATCACCTTGGCGATTCAGTCATGTGTTTGCGGAGAATATAAGCCGTAGTTCCAGCGATAAGAACATCATTGATTGCTGAACAACCAAGCGAGATCAAGGTAGACCACTTTATCCTTGTGAGCTGCTTCCCTATCAAAGGTAGAACAAGCTTACGTCAATCATGACATTTAAGTTGTAATGGCTTAGTTGAGAGCTGTTTCCCGTATTTAGAAACACCTGACAGGGCGACACTGATAAAATTGGACCTACACGTAGATTGCACCAAGAAGACCAAAGACTATTTTCCGTGATTAAGTAGCGATTATCCGTTGCAGGATAGACTATCGCACCTTGCTCCATGACACAAAATGCAATCTGATTGGCGCAATTAGTTGCTGTTTCCGAGGCAGCCAAACGCAATGCCTACCAGGACGGATGTTATTCTCCGTTTACCATAGAAACTCTTCTCAACTTCACGCACGCATCAGAAAGAAGTGTCATAGTAGTACGTCAGCAGCACGCACGTCTGAAGACCCTAGATATGAAAATGCCATGCACAACAGATGTGGTCAAGGACTATGGAACGACAGTGAGCTTGATTAGTTCGAGACTGGGGAAGAAAAGCGCCACTTGCACTCATTCCGGTGTAAAGCGCCCAGTTTCTATCGTTCTGTCAGAAAGTGCCTTGATGAGTTACCGATGTCACTAACATCAACATATGGCCGAGTGTATGATTGAACTCCAACGCATGAGCAAACGATATCCAAGTAGCGATTATCCTAGCAGGACTTTCAGCGGCTTGTACAAGTATTTCTATAGAGACTCACATTTGAGCAGCTTGGATCAACCTGTAACGCAACGCCAGTCTTTCCGTTAACTGTGGCATGCATGACATGCAATTAAAGATATTTACCAGATGAAGGCAACCTGTTCTGCACTGTCAGTAATGAGTCTGTGATATGCAACGTAAATTCGTACGAAAGCTTTACACTGCCTGCAGTTCTCCCGAAATCGTCTCCGAAAATAGATCCAAACTTGCGCAGTCAAAATCAAGAAAACTCTATAAACCTTCGTTAGTATACGACTGCCGCCAGTATGGCTCTCGATAACACAATCATACATAGATGATATACCAAAACCAGTCATCACCGAAGCCACAATCCTGATAGCGGAACTGTATTTTGCCACGACCTGGGTCATGGCGCGAATGTACAAGTTGCTGATTCTTCTTTGGAGGACGGGAAGGCTGTAAATCGAAGGAACTTCAGAGAGTAATCATGCACTTAATAGTACAGGTGGCCGCACAAAGCCGGTGAATGTTCCGGGAGCACAAGAAGGTATGAGCATAGCGCTAGCCTACTAGTAGTACTGAGATAGATGCGGCCATCAGCAACTTGAAAGCTGGATCAATCGGGCTGGTTACCCGGGTCCCGGGCCTTGTAAGCAGTTGAGCTATTTTTGTAAACCTATGTAGTCTAAGGCTGTGTAGCTGAAGCGCTTCTAGTTTGTTTATATCATTCCGTGATCAATATTATTTTAACCGCGTCTTACTACATCCCCCATTCACTGATAGGCTCGCAGCACGATTTGTGAATCCTGGCACAGCTAATTCGATGTGTCGCAATGACCTTTCAGAAATAGTCAAAACGACGATGATGTCCGTCCTGAAAAAGCATCATGGCGCCAAATACCTGAAATGACCGAGGCTAACGTCTTGCGGAGGCTGTACACAACAACACCCGTTGGATGATGATGCCGCAATACCCAGGAGTTGTTGCAGGTATCGTGTCGTCAGAATCTTCATGACAATGCTGCACCCGACTCAAAACCGACGATACCCGTGCTTGCCCACACCGATAAAGCTTGATTTCGTACAAATGATCATTATCTTCCGCACCTACTCATTTGTCCAGTGATCTCATCACAGAAATCAGGCCTCGTGAACAAAAGGAGATCATATAGATTTTGGATGAACCCACAATATTTAAGATGAAATTGTTTTCCTTTGTAGCAGCGTACCAGTACGCCCATCACCTTTCTCCCCTTTCTCCCCTTTCTCAGCAGTTGTGAAGGAATCGCATATTTGATGCTAGAGTTCGTGATGAATCATAGTATTTACCGTCAAGGACCGACTTACTGCGGAATTCAATCACCTCGTCCTTTTCAGACTCTCGGATCCATCTTCCCAATCTTCACCGCTCGTGCCAAATGAGGAAGCGGCTGCGGGAGCCATGCTAGACTCAAGGGGTAAGCTGGTCTCTTCTCCTGGTCAGTTTTGTTTTATCCCTCTATTGGTTGCTCGTTTCATTCATAGGAAAAAGTGGCTTACCTCTATCTTGAAGATGCCCGGGCACTTGCCTCTGTGCTTGAAAGCTTGACCCACAGTCCAAGATGCTAGCGCTCGTTGGCAGTATAATAGGGGCTTCTGATGCATATAGCTGGTTGGTAGGATCCCAGCACCAGTCGCATGGCCTCCAATTGTTCGAAGAAGGACATTGTGCTGGAAGGCGGAGAAGAAGAAAATCGAATCCAAAGGAAAGGCGACTATCAGCTGGATGGGTATCTGGAAGTGCAATGATGATAAAGATGTAATTTTTGCGAGACTGTCAAATATCTAAGGAAAGACCAGCCATAAAACCAAGACTTGTGTCGAATGAAAGGCATTGACATACAAAACGTACGTGCAACGAGTGTTGGAGACACTGATGCTCATGTACTCTGGGTAAGTAGCGCGAGGTAGGGTAGCAAGTGTCCATCTAGCAACTGGTGTTGATCTGAACGGTCTAGGTCACCACCACAAAAAAAGCGCACTGTCGCTACAGGCCACCCAGAATACCTCATCCGATGAGGTGGCACGAACGTTCTTCTATGACGAATTGCGCATCAGGAACTTGTGAGCACTCGAGGGAACGTGACCGGTCGAAAGGGCCAGACTTAGTTTCTCTTACGCAGTCTCCACCCCTTGCTATCTTCGTTCATGCACTATAGTACTTACCTGGTATCTGAAGGTAAGTGATGGGGCTTTCGTGCTTATTAACTTCCAATTACTTACGTACATGGGGACCTGTGTGAGGGGTTTCTTGAGACTGGGTGGCAGGAAGTGAACAGTCAGTTTACAGGACCAAAACCAGTTCATCCCATTCATATGATACAATCCCAATATATAACAATACAACCTGTCAAGTAGACGGCATCTTCAAGCATGTCGCCTTCAGTCCATCTCCACTCCACTTCGCCACCTCGATCAAAAGGTCGCGTTTCTTCTCTGCAGCCGTGGCTGAGTGAAGCTCATAGAGCGTCGCTATCAAGGCTTCAGTATCCACAAACTTCTACAATGTGATGATCCACGCACAAAGATTGAAGAGGTACGGTTCTGCTACCACGACAGCCGACGGGGAGCTATGCATTGCACTCTCAAGGACTTCGATACTCTGGAAAGCCGTCGAGCACGAAAACACGATAAAAGTCAGAGAATATTCACCTCCTTGAGTTTTCCCTGACTCAGAAGAGCCACAGACAGATTATTGATCGCCTGAGTGTGTAAACATCAATCGTAAGCAAAACAACCCCATGAAGTATTTACCACAAAGTTATCCGGTTCTGCTTGTACGAGGGCTTGGAGCAGTTCATCCGCCCGTGCCCAGTTCCCCTCAGCACATGCAAGCAAGGCAGCATTCATATCTTTGAGTGTCTGCGGGACGCTGGCGTCACCCTCCACGACAGCAAAATGCGCCTCAGCCTGCGCGAGATAACCACTCTGCAAGTAAATGCGACCCACAGCAGACCGGATGGCAGGGGATGGTTGTTGCCCAGTACGTTGTGCGAACAGCGGCTCCAAAAGATTCGTTGCAGCAGTAAAATCCTGCACATAGGGGTATCAGCTCGCTTATCGAGATATGGATATGATATACATGCCTTCATCTCGATCATTTGAGACGCGATGATCAGGCACATCCGTGCAGCGCGCTCGAGCCACATCGATAAACTGGAGTCGTCGCCCTCGGTTTTCGAAATCTTGGCTTGAAGCTTGCACTTCTTGAGTAAAGCGTAGAGGATGTCCAGGTAGCCCATGGGGTCGCCTGCCCAGTATTTGAGGCGTGCGTGCATGACCTCGAGCTCAAAGGGAAGGATGCGGTTGAATAGGTATGCTCGGGCGGACGGGGGCTCTGTGGCATTGAGCACTGCAAAAAGGTTGGTGCATTCAGCAGACGTTTGGTTGTAGAGACGGAGACGAGCGAGGCTTGATAGGCGCAAAGACCAGAGCTGTTGAAAGAGGCTAAGTCACAGCGTGCATGGCCGTCATGTACTTACATCGAGAACACGAATGAGGTCCTCAGGATTACAAGTTACTAGACGATCTCGCGCCATTCTGGCAAGCGCACGCCAACTGTTTAACATCTAATATTCGAAGTGCACTTATTGAGATCTTGGATTAGCACAGGGCGTACACTCATACTCACAACCATGGAGTGAAAATCAGAATGCTGCCATTCGCCAGTGACATCTCGTACAGGACGCTTCTCTATCGGAGATACATATTTCGTGAGGAGAATATTTAGAGGGTCCGTCTAATAGTACATGGAATATACATCAATGGTGGGCGTTGATGGAACCACCAGGTGAGAGTGTAAGATAAAGAGAGGCGTACGTTTGGAATGGGTAAGAACATGGTAGGCATTGTGAGGCCAGGAAGATACAATTCGGGTGCCTCAGACTCGGTGTCGCTTGGGGGAGGCGGGGGTACGTCTTTGTTGACGTTGGGGGAAGGTAGCGAGAGGCGTACTTCAGATGACGTAAGAAGTACTGATTGTGCGAGGGCGATCTCTTCATCTGCAGGGGGGACACTTTCACTCTCGAGGGAAGCAGCTTCGACTTCAGATGAGGCATCCTCGCCTTCGGACGAGGCATCCTCTGAGCCTTCAACTATGAAGGGGTCCGGTAGCTCAGGCTCGGACACTTGTGATGGTGTACCTGGACCCTCCCCACTATCCTCAGGTAAAGTCTGGAGTAATTGTGGGGGGCGATCGATAGAATCCTCCAGATGCATGGACTGTGCAGAAGCGTAGAGAGAGCTCTGGGAAGGGTGGGAGGAAGTGGCTGATTCTGCAACCGAACTATTTCGGTCGAGGGATTTAATGCGTACACGTGGAGAAGCAAGACCCCAGTCGGCGGTGACAAAGGTACCGCTGTTATCCGATCCATGGGTTTCAGCAGACATCATGTCTTCTGAGAGTGTTCTGGAGTGCTTCGAGCTGATATCGATAACGTCGGAAGAGTAGCGAGAGCCCAGAGTTGCACTGCTTGACCTACTGCGAGGGCTGGATGGTGTAATGATTGTGTTCGGTGAATATTGATCATCGTACAGAGGAGAGTGGTTAGGAGACGGTGTGGATGGGGCAGAGGAGCTTGTTGTAGTGGTTGTCGATGTGGTCGTAGCTGAAGACTTTCGCTTATGTTTCTGGGATAGCCTTCTCTTGACGTCTTTCACAAACGTTTTGATCGACTTGACCTGCATTGTCGAGAACCTGGGTGGTGCTGAAGTATAATTGCGAATGGTCTTGATACTTTAGGCTTGGATGATGGCACTACGGTGGATGTTTAGAGAAGGTAGGGGTGATGACGGACGGGTGACATGCCTTTTAATGCTTGCTAAAGATCCGCTTTACACGTTGCAGCACACCAGCTGACAATGCTTTCTGTGCGTGTATTAGTAATGTTAAAACGGACCGTCGGATGTCTCAGACTCACCAATTGTTTGTACTACAATAGCTGTAGGTCTTTTAGCGAAACGAGCGCTGCTTCATACATAAGAGCTAGTTCGGTAACCCAAGGTAAAGTAAATTTGCCAACTTCAAGGATGATGTAAGGCCGGCACAGTAGGTGCCGATAGCTGAGTTTCAACCTTATGATATCAATATTAGTAGGACTTGTTATCCATCGCGCTCATTGCTTTAGGGATAGATTATGGATACCATTGACCCCTTGCTCCAACAACTCGCTCAAGCCCAGGCTGTTCAGCCGCCAGCTGCAGGCCGTCGGCAGAATCATATGCGAATCCTACGTCACATTGCACTACTCGTCAGTGTCCTTCTGACTGCTACGCACTCATTGCTTCAGGACTCTGTACCTGAGGCATACCACACATCGGCCCTCTCAGGTGAAGAATGGGTCATGGAACTCATCACTGGTCACCCGGATCGTATGCGATGCGAACTTGGCATGCATGCAGATGTCTTTCACGCGCTCATAGCCGAACTTCGTGTTTTGGGTTATGCTAGCTCACGCCACGTTTCGCTCGAAGAGCAACTTGCCATCTTTCTATATACGTGCGTTACAGGGCTAACGATCCGTCATGTCGGGGAGCGTTTTCAACGGTCAAACGACACCATCTCAAAGTAAGTTTGTTTTTAATGTTATTTATGATGAGCTCACAAATAATTCCAGGTATTTCCGGAAGATCTTGTTTATCTTTGCGTCCCCCCCGTTCTACACAACATACGTATGTTCTCCCAACGACACCGATGACATCTCCAGCAACATCCGTAACAATCCAAAATTCTGGCCTTACTTCAAGGACGCTATCGGTGCGATCGACGGCAGCCACATCCATGCTCGCCCCTCATCATCTGATCGCCCCTCGTATCGTAATCGCAAAGGTTTTATTTCTCAAAACTGTCTATTCGCCTGCACCTTCAACCTCAAATTCTCCTACGCTCTCACTGGCTGGGAGGGATCCGCCACAGACGCACGCCTCTATGACGAGGCTCGTTCAGGCAGTTTGTATATCCCTCCCGGCAAATATTTCTTAGCGGATGCGGGATTCCCTTTGTGTGACGAGCTCTTAGTCCCCTACCGCAGTGTCCGTTATCATTTGGCTGAATGGGGACGTGCTAATCTTAGGTATGTTTTATTTATTTTATATTTTAGGTTTTTTAATAACTATTCTATGTTTGCAGACCAACAACCAAAGAAGAGCTCTTCAATCTGCGACACTCATCCGCTCGAAATGTGATTGAGCGGATCTTTGGCGTGTTAAAACGCCGTTTTCGTATTCTGTTGCTCTCACCTGAATATCCTATGACCATCCAGGCACGTATACCTGCTGCGCTATGCGCGATTCACAATTTCATATCGACTCACAACCCTGACGACAACGTGCTCCCGGACGACGACAATGAACACTTCGATTACGACAACCCGGAGCACCAAGGGATCCCCGATGATGAGGAGGAGTTTGACGGAGCGGGAGGCATGAAGGAAGTGCGCAATCGTATTGCGCGCTGCATGTGGGAAGATTATCAGACTGTTTTGCAGCAGCGGGGCCTGCTAGATGACTCCTTTGAAGATTCTGACAATGATATGTAGCACTGTAGCACGACTCTCATGTATCCGCCGCCATCAAAGCACAAGATGTTTGCATTACCATGCTTCAACTACTGCATTATCATCATATGTTGTGTCAATAGCGCATTTTACATGAGTATACTAACTACCAGGCGCAGGAAGTTGAAGTCCCAACCGCTGGGCTGTGGAAAGAATAAAAGCACGGCGCATCTCCTTGTCAGCAGTCTGTGTGTATATGTCAGTAGCTGCAGGGTCCATAGAAAAAACCTGTTGTATTATAAGCCGCTCTGCGAACGGCAACTCTGCATCCTCAACCTGCAACATCTGCATGGCCCTCGAGCGCTGGTCCATTACCCGATCCTCAGGATAGACCATGCGCTCAGCAATTACATCTGTCAAGCGATTGACAGAGCTCTGGAATCCCATCACGGCTACAGCTGTGGTGGCCTTCGATATCTTGGTGTCCAACGTGTTAGTGTTCTTGGTGGAACCGCCCTGAGTCTGTGCATGGCCTCCTGATCCACGGCCTGATGCGCGGCCTGATACTGTCTTCGCTCTTTTGATAGAGCTCGACTCGGAGGGAGGCGGCATTTGCATTTGAGAAACTGAGGTAGATGCAGATGAGGCGGTCAGCTCCATGTCGGTGTGAGAACGTTTGCCAGGAGGAGGCATGAAGGACAGAGAAGCAGGAGGAGGCATGAAGGACGGAGAAGTAGGAGGAGGCATGAAGGATGGAGAAGCAGGTGTAGAAGTGAGGGCAGCTGCTGCAGGGGCGGTGCTAGGACCAGCAACACCAGCACTAGATGTGGCAATAATGGGACCAATCATGGTATTGTGTTCACCTGCGGGTACGCTAGGACTGGAGCTTGAGCTTAAGGGAGGGGGGAGAGCTATATTGGGTTGGTACCCTGTGCGCCCTCGGGCGCCACTGCCTCGTGGTATTATGCCGTCCATTTGCTCGTAGTGTCTCCATCCCGATGCACGAAAAGGGCGCATGACTGAATTTCCCTATTATCAAACAGTGAGACGCATGAAATAGCATTAGTGAACTTGACGTACCTTCTTGGAAACATATTCATTCCATACTGAGGTTGAAGCCTCACCCTCGACATTTGCCCCTCTAATATTGTCCCAGTGGACACCAGACTGCTGGCGATACTTCTGAATAGCATTGAAAGTCTGCTTTAACTACACAATCTATTATCAAGTCTATAAATAAATTATATATTGATAGGACTTACTGACGCCCATTTTGTCTTACACATTGCCCCACTCTTCGCTGGACCATGCTCCAGGTACTCAGCAATAGCCTCTGCAGCGCCATTGTACGTCACATCTTTGAAGTTGCCAGCATCACCGATCTTGTCCCGATTGTTGGATAGGTAGAGGAGAAACTGATCAACCTCTGTGTCGGTCCAAACAGCCCTCTCTGTAGTAGTATGAGATGACTCCTGAGCCATGGAGAGGATGTGGACTTGAGCTGATAACACTATCGATATGACACTAGCCCAGATGTTGTTCCGATTGCATAGATCTTGAGTCGTATGCTGGGGTGTGTGATAGCTAGACATGGGATCAAAGGAAGTTCAAGCTCCGATGTCGGTCTCCAAACCGGAAGCTACTGTGCCGACCTTACATCATCCTTGAAGTTGGCAAATTTACTTTACCTTGGGTTACCGAACTAGCTCTAATAAATATGCTAGCTTGAAGCCCTTTTTATACCCGATCGAGCCGGCACAATTCGCGACCCGAGCAACAGGCCTAGGCACTCAGGTTTCTTTGTTCAAACTTATCCGCTTTCGTGTCCGCCCTTGCCGTGACCAGATGACCCAAGGGACGCATGAGTTTCTTGGAGCCGGAACGGTTAACGTTGGCTGTCAACTTCGTCACTGCCTCGATTTGCCACGACTCTCGTAATTATAAATTGCTATCGCGGAATGCCCCTCTAATATGATCTCACCCCTTCCCGGAAAACGAACTCTTCCATGTGAAACTCTTCTCTATAGGCTGTCATTGCCCTCATAGACCCTGGACGTTCTTTTCATAAAAGCGTCTAGACCTGCACAGCGCTTGATGATATGTTGTTCGCTTTCGGGCCGATGTCATTTTACGACACAGTAAGACCCCAGCTGCATCCCTATCATAACACACAGCCATGGGATAGCGCTCAACTACAAAGACTCGTGGATACGCGAGAGCCGGTGACCTGTGACACTGTACGTGCGATGTCCCACAGCATCGCAGAGTCTAGGCACTCAGCGTACCTTCAATCGTATTAGGTTGACCGACATGGCTGCAACTCGTGATGCCGTGAACCTAAATGAATTTGGTACTGGCAACGACATGTAAGTGTAATACTGGTTCAGGTCGGTCACTTCGTCAGAAGATTTGGTCTGCACTAACTATTTCAGTATGCCAAGCGTGTACCTAAATTCGGACCAAGTATTGAACACCTTTTCTTTTAGTTCTCGGAAATGATAAGCTGCACCGCTGTAACGGCCCGCGTTACTCCAGACGAATGCGAAGCTTCGACTGCGCTTATGCAGCAGTTCAAATTACCGTTTACCAACTACAACGCATCCCGGCGTCGACTATGCCACATCTTTAATTGCTCTCAACGATTCACAACAATTTCCTGCATTTCCATGTAGCCGATATCAATGATCATATCTCTGCTATGATAGCGCCGCTGTGTTATCAGTTGTTATCACGGATCACTGTGAGCTAGGTTCGATGCGGAAGCAGCCGCTATCGACGCATACTTAGGCACGCCCCGTATATCCGTTCTGTTCCAATATTAATACAAAAGTGCAGTCGTATTACGCCTCTCGTATGACTTACTCTGGACTCGTTCACTCAAAGTCCCTCCGCCTGCACCTTATTGAATGTTATCAGAGTTCAGAATGCATTCCATACTCCATATTAAATTACACATGTATAGTAATTTACGGTAGCGAAGAAATCCGTCTTGATAACTCCAGATGTCTGTTCTTCTGATCGTGTAGAGATTGTTCTCCTTCTCCTCCGTCGCATCCTTAATATGCAACATAAGCAACGCATAGCAGTGGGAAGCCAGCATACAGTCCCAGCCAAAACACCACGTTCCCCATCAGCTTGTTGCGCTGGATCACTGGTGCTCTAGTCACCAAGATCAATGGGATCTGGACGAGTTGCATCAGGAATAGGTACATGCTGCATCGGTCACGCCCGCTCATCAGTATCATAATAAAAACGAAAAAAAAACAGATTCTCTCACCGAATCTTTTTCGTCACAATTGCCATGACCAGCTCATGCGCCATGGCGCTGAGAAAAAATGTGACAAACATCGCTGTGGTGCGCGATAGGCCGTACGAGGCCCGTGTTGAAGCGTACACATGCCGAAGAAGGAAACTATGCACCGGTTTGTTCCATTTACGTGAGAATTCCTCCCAAGAAGTAGAGTTCCACTGTATAAAACAACGTTCAGTCACTCGCGATGCAGT